AAATACAGAGTAAACCTTTCCGGGATAAAATGTTTCTCTCCTGGGCGTCCGGGAGCCACTATCTTTTAGCGGGAGACTCCCGGAAAGTCTGGGAGAGTTGAGATGTCTGGTTTTATTAAATTTGGTTACTTTCAGTAGATCCCTTAGTTTTTCACTTCCAATAATAAGCCAAGCTGTCCGGCAAAAATATTAGTTACAAGGGGTTGGAGCAAACCATCTATCATCTATATTCATGTGGTTTAAACTTTTTTTAAAAATTAAACAAAATGTGTCCTGTGTAGTCACCTAGGAGTCAATGGGAGTAAAGAAGGGGACTTGTCATCAGCACTTCCTAAAGTATCCAATACAGAAGATTGCAGAAGCTCAGCAACTGCACTCCATCAAACAAAAACTAAGGGGGAAAAACTAAAGAAAAAATAAATATTAGGGTTACACTTTGAATAAATCTCAGAGTACACTGTGACAGACAGATGGTAGATATCAATATTTTTGGTAAAGGTCAATAGTAATTTCTGATCTCTTTCCAGCCACCTATTTATCCTTTTGGCTCACTGTTCTCATATCTGATGAGATTCACTGATTTGCATTTGACATTCCGATGTAGGCAAATCCTTTTATTTCCTGTGTAAATGTCTCCACTAGGAATAATCAGGTGTACCTACATGAGCTAATCATCCACATATTCCCCCAGGAGCCGTCATTTCTACTGCTTAAAGCTGGACTCTGAGAACACAGATATTCACTAATAGTCAAAAAAGGATATAAATCTATTTTGTTTGCACCAAATGTCTTTTGCAAACCTGTTTATTGCCATATAGCAGTAGCAGTGGCATCCTTAGTGTGCTGTACATGTTTCACACTGGATTACAGTGCAGATCTGTAGGAAATACACAAAGTATCCCACGTTTCCAATAAGAATACACATGGCTCTTGTATTTAGACAATTAGGACTTATCCCGGAGTTCAGCTTTAAAGGAGAACTATGGGGTCAGTGTTTTTCCCCATAGTTCTCCTTAGGGTAACGGGAGAACACACACTAGCGTCCTCCCGTTACCCTAAGCTCAGTATACCGCGAGCTATACTGAGACGCCGCAGCCGGAGCGGATCCCGATGTAGATGACGGGATCCGCCCAGCTGCGTGAGTGACAGCTGGCTCTGCCTATCTAGAGGCAGAGCCAGCTGTACCCGCCCCCTCCCCCGTTCGTTCCGCCAGGCAGCGCTGGCAGATCGGAGCGGAGAGAGGGGAATCCAGCCCCTCCCCATGTCACGGCAGAGAGCCGTGACAGGATCGAGAGGTGAGCGAACCTGGTATGTGTTCGCTCACCTCCCGATCTACTGAGCCGACCTGTGACAGTCTCATTGTCACAGGTCGGCTAGTACTATGAGGTGAGTGAAAAACACTCACCTCATAGTTCTCCTTTAAAGTAAACTTGTCACATGATGGCATCTTAATGTGGTCAAATGCCTTTATTTTGTTTTCTTCATATTGCTATTATGTTTGTACCTTTGTAATAAGTGTTGCTGCTGCTTTTTGGCAGTTTAGTCATTGTTTGTTGTTTATTATGTGAAAATAAAAATATGGAACAGAAAAAAAGTAAACTTGTCATAAAAGAAATATGTAGAGGCTGCCTCCTTACCGCTCGGCCATCCTGGATGACCTG